TTAGATTGTATCTGTTGAATTAAGCAGCACTGGTTGCATTTAATATTTTCTATGTCGAGGTTTTAGATTATGTCGTTTGAATTATCCAGCGGTAGTTGAAATTTCAATGCCATACGTCGAGAATTCCTAATTTACGTATTGGTTCAAAGAGTGTATGTTGAAAGTTCCATTTAATATGTTGAGTATTTAGATTTCATCTGCTGAATTACACAGCGCTGGTTGAAAATTCGATGTCCACTGTCGAGTTTTTAGACTGTATCTTCTGAATTACAAGGCTGTTGTTGGAATTTTATTATCTTTTGTTGATAGTTTCATTTTAGCATGTTGAATCACATTGATTTTGCTGAAAGTTCCATTTCGTATGTTGAGTTTTTAGATTGTATCTGTTGAATTTAAACAGCGGTGATTGGACATTTTATTGTGTTTGTCATACTTGTTATTTTATGTGGTGGGATGATGTGTTGGTGTTAAAAGTATTATTACGCAATGTTCACTTTACCAATTCAAAATAATATCGTGTTTTAAGATACATCATTCGTGTATTCAATTATGAGGCGTCATTACATTTCATGCATTACCAGTTTGAAAGTTACGATTCAAAGGTCGATAATTGCTATGAGTTTCTTCGCTAGAGGTCGCTCTCGCGAATGGACTGCGTTAGTTTTAAACAATGAGGCTGCTTCTCGTTACTGTGAAATTCAACTGATGAAATCTAAATACTCGCCAAAAGAAATGGAACTTTCAACACAAACCATTGCATACAAATGGTCGCCATATGAAACGGAACTTTCATCATAAACAGTTGCATACAACGTGTGAATTAAGTATTCTCGACATATGATATTGGAATTTCAACCACCGCTGTGCAATTCAAAATACACACTATAAAACGTCTACATAGGAAATAGAACTTTAAACCACCACGTATAACTCAACATATAAAATCTAAAATCTCGATCCAGAAAATGGAACTTTGAAGACATATAATTTGATCCGACACGTAATTTGGATTTCTCGACATGCAACATCGAAATTTCAATTGCATCTTTCTGATTAGATCAGCTTTTGTCCGCTACGGCACGTCATACTTGCCTTTGTTTTATAAATGACCTTTAACCTGTTTTAACAGGAAGATTCGGGATATTACTAGAGTCGATAGTTATTTCAGTTAATGTCTGCAGATGATCTAATACTTTTTACAGACACCGCGTATAAAGTTCCGAAGATTTAAACCACGAGATAAAGTATTGAGATAATTTGAAAATCCCAGTTGATTCATTAACAAGTATTTAAATTGCATCTTTTCTTCCAAGAACTCCTGGTACACGGGTAAAAACAGTTGGAGTACAATCTTCAAATACTGTATATTCTTTGACAAGGTAAACGATCTAGATTTGGAATTTGCTATCCAAATAAAGCTGCATAATCTAGATACCAGAATTATACCTATTCTTTACAATGGATACAAGAATTATATAACTATTCTTAACAATGGATACAAGACGAATACCTATTTATACCTATTTCTGACTATGAACACAAGAATTATACCTATTTTTTTTACTATGGATATAATAGTTATATATCTATTCTTAACAATGGATACAAGAATTATATCTATTCTTAACAATGGATACAAGAATTATATCTATTCTTAACAATGGATACAAGAATTATATCTATTCTTAACAATGGATACAAGAGTTATACCTATTCTTAACAATGGATACAAGAATTGTAACTATTCTTAAAATGGATACCAGAATTTATATATATATATATATATATATATATATATATATATATATATATATATATATATATATATATATATATATATATATATATATATATATTCTTAACTATTGATACAAGAATTATACCTATCATTCACTTTGAATAAAAAAAATATATAACTATTCTTAAAATGGATACCAGAATTATATGAATTATATATATTCTTAACTATGGATACAAAAAAAATTATATCTATTCTTAACTACGAATACCAGATTTATACCTATTCTTAATTATGGATACCAAATATATTACTATTCACATACTACTCCGGCAGATCTTGGTATGTACTGTTTATTAGGCGTAATCAGTTGAACAAGTACTGTAGACTCTGATCTGCAGGCGCATTATGCTGCAGCAGATCAGGATCTATGTCGTGTGCGTGCAGTTAGGATTGACTGATAGGTGAGTGTATACAGTAAGATACAAGAATAGTTGTCATGAAGATAGAATGTACCAGTTATTAAACGCACAAATTGAAAATGAGCATCATTTGATTATAATTTTTCCTATTTTTGTTGAGGTATGAAGGGTTACACCATCATATGTCATATGAATCCAAATATAGACAGATTTCACTCGTATGTATTTAATAATAATTCAGGTTTGGTAATATAAATATATGATTTTTTTGTTTGTAAGACTTTAAAGGTTAGCGAAAATGTGGAAAATATGTAAAATCCTGTCAATTATATCATAGATTTCTAACGCGTGTTTAGTAGTATAAAAATTTACAATTATTATTATTATTATTATTATTATTATTATTATTATTATTATTATTATTATTATTATTATTATTATTATTATTATTATTATTATTATTATTATTATTTAGTTATGAGTTTATCATACCAGAGAGAGAGAGAGAGAGAGAGAGAGAGAGAGAGAGAGAGAGAGAGAGAGAGAGAGAGAGAGAGAGAGAGAGAGAAAGAGAGAGAGAGAGAGAAAATAGTGATCGTTTTCCATATCTTATAGATTCATTAAACTGCTTGTTAATTTTTACAGTAGTACAATAAATCCATTATCATTCTGTCAAATGCTACCCATCTTTTTTATTTGTACCTATGGACAAATTAAAGGGTTTTTCTCTTAAATAAATATTTATTTGTTTGTTTACGACATGTGAAGCTAAAACGTTAAGTTATACAGTGCTATATTGTGCAAAATCATTTCCACTAGAATTTTATTTCGTGATAATTTTCAACTCCAAAAGAATGCCACATAAATTTGTTTACGGCCGGAAATTAAAAACTTAGGATACTATTTTTTGCAGGTTGTTATTATGTAAGAAACAATCCTTAATTACTAATTTGTGCTTTTTCAAACAACTTCAAAGCAAATCTAAAATCTAAAGGGTGCATAAATTCCCCCATCAGACCCTCTTTATACATTTTTTAAGGAAATTACACAACTAATTTAACACAGGATGTATAAAATAAAATTACTACAGTATTAGTAAAATACGCGACGGTATAAAACAGTCATTAATTACACAAATGGAATTTTCTTGAGTTAAGTTTCGTCTATTCACTCCGTTCCACGTCCATGTTGACGATCTTTGGCTAGCGAAAATGAATTATTCGGAGTTCTTCGGTATCAGATAAAACAGCACTCAGAATAATCGGAACCGAAGCAAGTAATTATAAGTTAAATTTCTGTAAACAAAGAAATTAACATAAAGTCAGCACACAGTCGTACATTTGTGTGTGCTTCTGTTTTCTTACGAGACATTCTAGGTGCTGTTTGTCTTGTTCCTAAGGAAGTGCCAATACTATACCTTTAATATATGCTACAGGCACTAAGTTTATAATGAAACTTTTTAACTATTAAACGGTTAATGGATTCGTACCACCGCTGCGAAGGGAGAGTAAAGTATAAAATCATATTCGTGTATACTCCTCCTTTTTTCCGACTTTTTTTTAACCGTCCGATTGGCACGACTTCTGGTCCGATTAGCACGACCTCTAGTCCAAAATTATTCGCGACCCGAGCAAGCAGCGGGATATTTATTTCTTCACGCAATGCAGCAATGCATTTTCCAGGCGTATAACTCGCACTCAACTGGCAACAACGTTGAACAAGATCTTCCATTCCATAAGGTGTAAACAGATACGGGACTGCGATATCCCCTTGAAATTGTGTGAAGAAAGAATAGCGTGGACTCTGGATCTAATAGCAGCGCTTTGGTTGAATGCTTATTCACCGGTTTGTGTTTTTACTCCCCTTGAATGCATGTTGTTAAACATGATTCCTATTGCAATGCTTCAACAGATGCCATATGGTGAATAAAATAGTTTAAAAACTGTCAAAAGGGCCGGATTTTATCTATAATTCGGATGATAATAAATTAGATGATAATAATGATGTCATAATGATAATGTTCAATGAGAGCAGGATGAGAAAAGAGTAGCTATGACGTTGATAAATATAATAACGATGTGGACAAAGACGACAATACCGATGAAAGTGATGGATATTCACTAGTTCTAAAAGTTCATACAAATGTTTAGGTTCTCTCAGTCCCAGCAAATACGTATTGAAATTTAGAGTGGAGTGTTTCTAATTTTACATTTTTATATCGGTGGGAGTTTCAAACTAACAACCGCGATCTTCTTACACTGTGTATATTTCGTAAAATAAGTGCCAAGTTGGTATGGTACCCGTATAACGTCAGTAAAGTAGATTTAAAAAAGAAATAAAATGCATGAAAGGAAATGGTTTTTAGAGTGTGTATTGTGTTAATTACATCTCGAGTTGTCATCTTTTATTAAAATTGCAATCTTATGAAACGGGAACTATGTTAATGCAACATGTATACACATCGCATAATTTCGGAAAGACGGCGTTGTACTCACCGAGATACATCCACACGTAACATGTATTTCACATAAAAATGATATATAGGTAAATCTGAATTGAACTCACTGAAGCGTGAAATATAGTTCACAGTGATCTCCTTTTGTGGTATAACATTAAGCGCACTAAGGCGCATCCACATACACAAAGTTGGCAAACAGATTTGAGTAAACAGACATAAAGACGAATAAAAAACAAAACAATTTATTGACAGGATCTATCTCCTCCATCCACGCTCTCTATCTCCTCCATCCACGCTCGTATTCTGATGTGATCGCGTATTTTATCACTATTGTTTTCCCCTCTCTTGCCTTTACCTTCATTTTGAAAGGTCTTAACTCAACGACCGCTCCGGTGGCCTAGTGGTTAGAGCGTCCGCCTCAGATGCGGAGGTCGTGGGTTCGATCTCCGGCTGAGTCATACTAAAGACTTATAAAAAATAATAAAAAATCGCATATGTAAATGACATTAACTTCACAATGGGACTGCTCTGATAGCCTAAGTGATTTGAGAGTTTGCCTCGCTGCGGGAGATCGTGAGTTCGAGCCCCGGCCAAGTCATATCAAAGACTTACAAAAATGGAACTGATAGCTGTCTCGCCTCGCGCTCAGCATTAATAGGTTAGTTGTAGCTATGGTCGGCCTGGTATCAGGATAATATGACTGGATGTGACATCATGCTACATGTCTGAGGCATGATGCCCCAGTGCTAGACATCACTATAAACTGTCACACTGCAGATATCGTAACGATGTGACTGAAAAATTGTACAAGCTACGTTAAAATTCCAAATCTCACACGCGAACGCGCCAAAGGTATTGCTAACGCGTAACAACTGCTCAAGAGCTTTTACCAAAAGCCACTGGGTTCTACTTACAGCTGGTTTGATACGGTGTCTGCCATTTATATCAAAAGCCACACGGTTTTGCTTACAGCTGGTTGATACGGTATCTACCGTTGCGATAAGTATTATTAGATTTCAGTATTGTAATTTATATCCGCTATAGAGTTCCTCGCTCTGGTACTGTCGGTGGAGCTGGAACGTAGAATGTGTATCAGATTTCTGAAGCATGCTACAGAACAAAAAAATAAAAAAAAAAATTCATAAGCTATTATACCGCAAAGAATTACTATAGATCTGAATTTGCGTAGGAAGACAACTTTCTCTGTGATCGACATACCCTGAAAGAGACCAGGTATAATTACAACTGTTGTTGTTGTTGTTGTTGTTGTTGTTGTTGTTGAGCTTAACGCCATTTTTCAGCACACGATAGGCTATTCATGGCGGCCAGTATTAATGGTTGAGGAAGAAACCAGGAAATCACCGGAAAGAACCACCGACCCACGAGAAGCTACTGGCAAGCTTTCTCACAACTTACAACTGTTAAACAAGAGAATGGCTGCTCGGTCACATAATACACAAATTACATTAATTAAAAGTAACAAAGAATTTAATACAATTTATTACCACGGACCAGTAGAAGAATGCATGCAATTTTAAATTTCGAATTGTGTTTTAAGCGAATGTATGATGAGAAAAAGACTCGAGAAAACTTAATAAATTCCCTGAGGAGGGGCCTGGGGTAGTACTGTTTAAAAAGTAATTTTAGAGCCAAAATGATAAAATAAATAAGCGTCCATTTTGTCTTCAGTTAACCTAAAGAGGAGGGCCTTAACGAATAGATATCAGGCGAATAAAGCCGGAATCAGCATGAAATTTATATTCAATTTTAGTTTGATCATTCGTATTCAAGTATAAATGCGACATCTTGCAAGTAGAATGTGGTTTTAAGTTATTCAACTATTCTGTTTATCTCTTCTCCCTTTAATCCCGTTTTTTTTTTCTTTCTTCCTAACTTTTCACCTGGGACTATAGACATCTCGACAATGTTAACTGGTATCGCAAGCACGGTTGGCCGGTTGTCAGAAGGATGGTTCTTCTTTAAACCACGCCTACTCGTCACTCAGAACTAATTGCAATTTCTTGAGTTTCAATTGGTGCAACGTCAAAATGTATCCTACCACATCTTGACATTTATTGTCAGGGGCCGGCGGATCGTAAAAATATCTATTTTGGCGAGGCAATTGACTGTGGCGGCTATGTAGTTGTGTGAGTAACCCGAGACGTTGTACGGTCAAGAATAACCACAATAAGCGAGGTTATCACCATAGAGTTGATGTTTGTAAGCGTGGATGTACACAGACATACGTACATACTAAACACCAATATGGGTTAGAAAACGGAACGTATAGTGTGAAACCTTTCGATGGAGTCTAGAGCGCTAAGCGCTTGTTGCTCATTATAGCTCGCTAGCAATGTAAAAGCTAGGCGCGATATCGCCTAAACATTATGATAATAAGAGGGCGTACAGGTGTCAGGAAAAAACTCATGAATCTTCCTGCAGCTATTGAATATGATGAATTTGATCTATTGCCTATATGTATACCGCCGCTAATAGCTCGCTTCTGCTCAATTGGCATTAAAACTTGAGCTAAGTTGAGATGTGACGACTAGGATTTTCTATGGTTCTGTATGCCAACTACAAAATATACCGGTTGCTTACTTGGAACTTGTTAACGATTGTTGAGGTACAAAAGTCATAACGAACAGTCATGACAGATAGTCATAACCAACGGTCATGACAAGTACTTGAGAGGCAGGTATTGTTAGTCGACCGCATATAAAAGACGGAAGATAATTGTGAGTGATCGAAAATTGTAAAGTTTACTTCGCTTTAGCCCCTCCAGCGAGAGGGGCACCATCCTGTCCCCTGTGATGCTTTTCAAGGTCTGTTGGATTTTGGTCGCGTGTGTTTCGAAAAGCATATTAACTGATTCTTCCGCAGCTTCGGATGATAATACTTGTTCTACAGTGCAAAACAAATGTGCTTCCCGCGTTGGATGCGGCATGGCCCTACATAACTTTTTCATTGGATGTCATTCTGTTATCTACGGGGAGACGGACATATGTACAGTACAGTGTCAACGAGCACTGATATCGTTATTGTCCACGGAGGACAAGGTCGGCCTGGCATTCATGAACTGTGAGTGTGATAATAACGAATTCTGTAATACACGGAAGCAGCGCGTACAGATATGCACTAAAGATGTTCTAGATGCTATGGAAAGTGTCAACTACAGTACGACTGTGGTTAGCTGCACGCTGGCGCAGTGGATCTGTGAGGCGGACACGTCGTGCTATACGGCGTTACGTTATTACGTCAGTCATTGCGGACAGCTGATTGATGGCCACGTGTGCACGTCCAGGTGTAACAATAGTCTTGACATACTGTATCGACAGGACAAGGCCACACAACTAATCTCGTGCACGTGCGATGGTTCCGAAGATTACGACTGCATCAAACTTAGAAGAAACACGGAGAGGCTCTGTTTCAACAGAGATGTGCCTTATCATTCCATCAACGATGACGACAGGAATGGAGCACGTAGCTTGGCAATGTTCGTCTGGTCAGTATCTCTGGAATACCTTGTGTTGTTTGCTCTTGGACTTGTAATCATCAGGACTTTATCATAATGCTCAATGATTATTTTTTCATCGAAAACATTTGCATCTCCCACCATAGGTGTCGTCTGCTATAAACAAGTTTTTATGCTGAGTATCATTATTGCTTTTATGCTGTATAACTGTCTTGCATAATGCTGCATTATGTCATTCCTTCACCAGGGAAGAAAGTGATAAAGTGGGAAAACAGATAGGAAGAAAGCAGTGATTGACTGACGTGGATGATGATCTGACAAGGCAAGATTGCGTTGAGATTGATTACACTCCTCAAATATTCACACTTGTGATATTGTCATGGTTGATGCATTTTGACATTTATAGCTTGTTTGTAAATCTTAGACTACTGTGTACAAACTATCTGTGATGTGCTTGCAACCGTGAATTTAATGTTAATACCTTGTTAATGAAGAAAATATTACGCAAAGGTAGGGCAAACTTGTGGAAAACTATACATTCCATTAATCTCTCTCTCTCTCTTCTCTCTCTCTCTCTCTCTCTCTCTCTCTCTCTCTCTCTCTCTCTCTCTCTCTCTCTCTCTCTCTCTCTCTCTCTCTCTCTCTCGCCAAATTTCGCAAGGATTTTATAACTTGAAACGTGTCTTCAGTTTTATTTAATAGTACTAATTTATGGAGTTTAAAGCAAACGATCAGGCTAATGTTTTGTCCAATAAAGAAGATAGCAGACGACACAATTCACTGTTGTGTAACATAAACTGGTTGTCGACAGAAATAGTATCTTTTTATGGCTTTCTGATGTAAAGGGTGTCAAGATGGAACCATAAAGAGGCGTCTAATGACTTGTGCAACACATCAAGGTGGTGGGATGTATGGGGAATATAGCGTCTTCAGAAACAAGCATTTGATATTAAATTGATGAAAATGCAGATAAAAGGTTTTGAGAAAAATTTATTGGTAATCGGAGATTTTGACCAGATATTTTACCAGTTTTCTACATAGGATGGAATTCCCCAGTGGTAAAATTTTGAATTTTAACCCACTCACCCCTTCTCTGTTTTAAAATAATACATTTCTAACTTTAGATGTTTTATGCAACCATGTTTCCCAAAGTTTATAAGTTATATGTTTTTTTTTTCTTTTTCCTCTGAACACTTTTCTCAGCAACTTTTAACCTCCAAGTTCCATTTTGGTCATATGACTTTATTTTTGAAAACGCCACTCTAAATTGGTTGCAGAAATGGTTGTTAATTTACTTTTTTGATTAAAAAGAATAAATGAAAAAGACTGCATGATTTATGAAACGTAATTAATGATTTGCCAATTTTTATTTCCCCCCAGTAGCCATACGCCAAAACCAAATATCTCTTCCCGTGCAGCTATATTTTGCATAGAAATTTATATTTACTACTACTACTACTACTACTACTACTACTACTACTACTACTACTACTACTACTACTCATTGACTCTTCACACGTGTGCTAATGGTAATATATTTTTTCGTGAAAGGAAGTTTTCAGTCGTTTTTACAGTAAACTATTTCTCTGATAAATATATGAATAATTTATTTCAAATAAAGATTGTATTTTCTGTTATCTTTGATTGGATGTAGTTTTTCCTGACCCATCATTAGGAGACAACTCTATGGCTTACTGAGCAAAGAAGCTCTCTAGTTAGGGAGGTTTTGTTAAGATTCTTATTTAAATGCTATTCAGAAGATTATTCGATTAAGTCTTCCTATATTTTATTAAGGAAATAATTAGGTTTAGGCAGATAGACGTAAGTATAATATTTTACGTCGTACGTTACTCGCTTATAAATTTGTTATCTTATCTAGAACATGTATTTTTGATATCAGGAGAAGGAAAGCATGATTGTCAATTACATCAATGCTTCTCTGTCCCTTCTCCCCCAAATCATCTGCCAACATCAGTTTAAATG